GTAAGAAAAGTTTTGGAAATAGAAAAATAATACTTTCTTAGTTTTCTATCTCCGTAGTACCAGTGTACATGATGCTTTGCAATCTGCAAACCCAAAACAATCCCCACTTAAGGAGTCAACTACTAAACTTTATAAAATTTTCTCACACAGATTCTTAATGGACCTTCATAAATCCGACAAAAAGAGCACAATTTTGTAACTAACTGCTTTATTGTCTGATACATTGTTTTACACTCGAATTTAAAGGCAAAGGGTAAAGAGAATGCGATGTGTTCTTTAGGTATTGCATAATTTATAATCATATATCATGTTTTTGTTCACCGCTATTGTCTAGGTTTTCCTCACTATTGTCTAGGTTTTCATCACTGTTCTCTAGATTTTCACTAACTTCTGCCTCATGCTGCTCTGTGATAGTTTCTGCACCCATGCCATCAGGTGGTGTCACACCTTCCTCAGTTGCATTGCTTGCCTCTGTCGCATTAACTACTGGTTGCAGATTCTCCATCATCCCAGAGAGCGCCAATCTTGGAGACCACTCAAGAACATCATCAATTATGTTTGATACACGTTTCTGATACCTGCAAGAATATAGAGTTTATTATCAGTACGTTTGGCAAGGCCAAAAAGCAAAGAACTGGTTTGGCAAGTAATCAGGCAGAGCAGTGTGTTGCAATCATAGAGCAAAGGATCTGCATTAAGGATCCCAACAAAAGATCAAAAATAAAGGGAAAAGGTATTCAAATTATTCTAGATCTGAAATTTTCGAAATCTCATCATGCTTAGCCGGCCACAATTAGTCCCTCCATGCAATAACGTGACTTTAACCTCGTAGTATAGCATGCCAGAAGATCAGCCTCAGGCCGTCAAGTGCCATTATGGTATATTTAGTAGAAGTAAAACTCACCTGGCTCTAGCAGCTTCATCAGGAGCATGATGCCTCAGTAGCAATATGACCAGCACTCCAACTGCCGCATAGAAAACTCTTGTTGTCCACTTTGGTCGCTCCTCCTCATCTTTCTTGGGCCAGAAACGGAACAATTCTCTCAAAGTGGCTTCCTCGGCGAGAATGTTCGGGAAAAACCAAACTCGCGTCCCCAAAACAATGTATAGAGCTCCAAATATTGCACCCCTCACTGGAAATTAAGAAAATGAAACAAAAAAATTAAATGTTTATGTTGAATGACAGGGAACGCAGCATTACAAGAATAATTATTTGCACAAATAACTCTGGAATCTTGAGATTAATACAAAATAAAGGAACTACAAGATCACAGAAAAAGCCAACTGAAGCTGGAAGTCAACTCAAAAATCTAAATAAAAATTGTTGAGGTTTCTAGATGCACATATAATGAATACTCGAAAGATGATAATCAATACACACATGCAAGTCTGCAAGACAGAAATTTTGAAGTCTTTTAGGCCAAGATGACGGCAAATCCGGATAATAAAAACAACTGCAA